CTGTGATAAGATCCATATTTCTTTTTTAAATTCTTTAGCTTCCTCTATACAATTGTTCAAAATATGTATAGGTCCTTATGTTGATCTCTCTGGCAAACCTGCCCAGTTATTTTCATTTAGAATTGTGTATTTTGTTAATATTGTACTGAGTCTATTATAAATTCCTTTTGTAAATATTTTTCTAGCTGTTTCTAGTAGAGTTATTGGTTTAGTATTCCATATATTCTTCTTCCAATCTTTAGATTTAGCTATAAGGAATATATGTCCCTCTGACCATTCTTTTGGTATTTCTTTATTTTTTAAAATCTGATTATATATATATGTGAGAAATTGTAATGCATTGTTACCTATATGTTTCCATAGTTCATCGGTAATTATAGATGGACCTGCTACCTTTTTGTTTGGTAATTTTCTGATAATTCCTTTAATTTTTTCTACTGTAAATTTTTTTGTTAATGGTAGATACCATTCCTCTTGTATTTCATTGTTTTGATTATAAATTTATTTTCACACTTAATTCTGATCTAGATTTTCTATATTTTTTGAGGTAATTCAATGACTAAATACATTTTTAACTTCTTGTTTTATTTCTTCTAGATCTGTTAATACTTCAACTTGCTTATTGGTTGTTCTAATTAAACTGTCTGTTGATATTCTAGATCTTTTTTTATTTAGGAGACTTTAAATGACTATTTTTTTATTGTCTTGAAAGTTTTTATTTCTTTTAATAATCTGTTCTTTAATTTTTTTATAATTTGCATCTTTTATTTCTGCATCAAATACTTTGTGTAGAGTATGGTGTATTCTTTTGACTCCTTTCAACCAATTTTTAGTCTCTTCTATTGTTTCTGTTCATGATGGGATTTCAATTTCTATATTATACTCTTCCCTAATATTTTTTATTTTTTTAACTATTTTTTCTTCCAATATGCTCTTTTGTTTTCTGTTAGTATACCACTGTCTGCTTCACTCATGAATCTTTCTCATAGATATCAGTTTTCTATATGTGATGAAGTAATTATGAAGTACTTTTGATTCTTTATATTTTTCAGATATAAGTTTTTTCTTTTTTGGAATTATTTTATTTGCTTTTTCAATTATAACATTTCTAAAAAAATTCCATTTTTCTTTAATATTGTCATTTCCAATGGTGATATTTTCTACTATAGTTAATTCAATCTGGGATTTGAATTTTTTTTATTTTTTTTCAGATGTTCCCTTAAATTTAAATTCTATCTTATTCAGAATTTTATCAGAATCTGTTATAGATTTAGTATATTTAAGAATATTGTCTTCTATTTCTGCTATTGCAAATATATGATCACTGTGACTTTTCAAATCTGAAGGTATAATATCTGCATAAAAAAGTTGATCTGCTAAATAATCTGATACCCATATTTGATCTATTCTACTTTTGATTTCTTGGGTACTGTTTCTTCAAAAAAAATTTAGTGTTATTTTGTTTTGCATATTTTCATTTTCTGTGATATCTTTATATATTCTAAAAATATCTTTAAACCTGTTATTATCTAAAAATCTTAATATTTGACTTTCAGGTTTATCTGATCTATTTCTTGCATTAATATTAATATTAAACCTATCAATTTTAAGATTAAATGTGGCATTAAAATCTCCCATCACTATTGCATAGTGCTTGTCCTTAATTATATAATTGTTTAATTCTTGTATTATTCATTTTGTTACATGAGTTCTTAGCTTCTTTTGGTTTGCACTTGTTGGATAATATACTATTATTATTTGTAATTTTTTTTTTTTTTGAATGACAATTTTATAAAGATCACATTGCCTTCATATTTATCTATCTTATAAACATATTTTGCCCATGTTTTTTTTATCATGATTCTGACTCCTGAACTATTTGTCTGTTGTCCATTTGTCCAAAAATATTTGTATTCATTGACATTTTTATCTTTCTTTTGTATTTCTTTTATTGTATTATTTTTGAATATATATTTACAATTTTCATCTTTTGCCCAGGTTTCTGTTAGTCTAATTATATCTAAGTCTTTATCTTCACAGAATTTCAACCAATTTATTTGTTTTATAGTGTTTGTTATTCCTCTTATATTTTGAGTAGCTATTTTTAAAGTTTTTAGATCATTCTAATTTATATTCTTATCTATTATGATACTATCATTATTTTGATTCATATTTAATATATAATTGTTACTATTTATTAGCCCATTATTTATATTTTTAGTTTTATTTATGTTTTTAATTTTATCTTCATTTTTAAAATTTTTTTTTGAATTTTTTTTAATATTTTCTAAATTATTATTATTATTTAAAAAAAGATTGTTATTATTGTTTTTAATATTAATGTTATTAATTATATTAGTATTTTATTCGTTTTCTATTATATTATTATTATTAATATTTATATTTTTATGATTGTTCATCATAATATAATATTTTTTTTTTAAAAATTATGTTCTTTAAATTAGGGTTTTATCCTCACCTTGTTCATTATTTTTTTCAATATGCTTTTCCACTCCATTTAATCGTGCTAAAGTTGTTTTATTTTCTTCTAACAGAGCTTTAACTGTTTCATAAATATAATTTATTGTTTTCTCCATTTCTTTCCCCTCTTTTTTATCATTAGTTGTTTGTGCCTTTGATTTTTCTTTTTCATTCATTTCTTCATTTTCATTATCACTGATATCCATTTCTTTTACTTCTTCATTATTTAATATTTCATAAGCACAATGAGTTTCCACTAATTCCAATCTTTCATCTATATCTTTCACCTGTTCCTTTATTTCTTTTATATCTTGCTAGATTTCTAATAACATGTTCATAATATTTTCATTTGTTGTGTCATTCTTTTCCATTATATTATTTTTAACTTTTCTATTTATATTATTTTTAACAGCATCTGAGTAACTTGTTCCCATGTTAATTCCTCCCATCAGTGATTTATATAGTTAAGGCCTTTGTCTTTTATATAATTGCCCATATTTTTCAAAATCTCTTGCTTTTCTTTCACTAATTTCCCTTTGTTTTTTCGCCACAAGACAACTGATTACAAGATGATCTTCCGTGTGACATCTGTGACATGTTTTCAAAATTGTATCCACTATTTAACTCTATATTCTCCTGCAATCCATTCAAAATTTATAACTTGGTCTTTTTCTTCTTGACTCTCAAAAGATGCTATGGCCATTCTTTTCTTCTTCCCATATAAATTTTGCGGAAAATAGCATGTTTTGGCACCAAAAGGACTTATTATATTATATTCATTTTTGTGCTGTAATATCAAATGGTAAATTGATGATCTTTACTGTGTATTTACCTCTTTCTTTAAGTTCAGTAAAATTACATGTAGGTGATGTTACTCTGCATGATTCTTCCCCAATAATTTAGGACCATTCCATTAATAGATTTTTGGCTGTATCTTCTTTCTTAAATTGTACTATTGCAGATGACCACAATCCTCTTGTACTCATACTGCATGAGGTTACATTTCCAAATTTATTTTTTATCATAATTTTAAATTCTTGTTCCTGCATGCCAATTGGTATATCCCAGAACTTAATTCCTTTTTCATTATTTGTTTTTTTATTTGGTTTATTGCTACTCTTGTTAGAGTTGACCTATCATTTAATTGTATTCCTTCAATTTCAATTTTATATACATTTTCCATATTTCTTTTTTTTCCAGATATATTACAATATATAGTTTTTTATCTTTCAAATTTTTTCAGTTTTGATTGTAATAATATTAATTTCATTTTTATTTAATAAATTTGCTATTATATCAATTTTTTCTTTTAAGTTTTTTCCATGAACTTCTTCTGTTTTAATCTATACTTTATACTTTTGTAAATTAATTTTTTTTCTCTATTCCTCATGTTCACTTAAAAAACTATCTTCTGAGTTTACTGATTCATTATCATCTGTTTCTGTGTTTGTAATATTTTGCTCACTTGTTTTATTATTTTCTTTTTCTGTTTCAATGATAATTTCTTTTCCTTTACCTTTTTCATCTTTTTTTATATTATCAATTGCCTTCATGTTATTATCTGTATTTTCTTCACCTATACTATCTTGGTTTAATAATAAATTCTCTTCCACTGATAATAACTCCATGTTATTTGTATTTGTCTCTATGGTTTTTGTTTCTTTGTTCAAATTACTTGTGCCTGCTGTTGTACTAGCTTTTGATCCATAAGTATTTGCAATAATGTTTCTTGTAACCAGACTGCTTGTTACTTTTGACTTTAAGATTCTTCTGGTTGTATCTAACTCGTTAAGTCTAGTTCCATAAATTGCTGTTGACCATCTTGAACGTCCACTCCCATTTTTTATACTCATTTTTGATGAATTTGTTATTTTATTTGTCTTTTTTTTTTTTATTTATTTTATAAGAACTTCCTTTCCTTGAATGTTTTGGTGTAATTGATCAGCAGAAAGAGTTCCGGATTTTTTAATTAATATCATTTTATCATTGATATTTTTTAAAAAATCTGAAAATAATTTATCAAAAGGTTACTACATATAAAAGTTCGTAATTTATTAATAAAATATCAAATATAATACTAATAATTCTTATAGCCAAGAACATGAAGTATCATTTATGAAGTTTTTAGAATTTATTCTTGCAAATTAAATTTAATATCAATGGTTAAACATCAGACATTTAAAAATTATTTTTTGAAATTTAATCATTCATTATTCACTTAATTTTAATAAATATTTCTAAATATTTTAAAAAAGATGTTACATATTCTTAGCTATAATATTACTTAGTATTAATTTTATTACTATTTTAATAAATAAAAAACTTTTATATGTAAAAATGATTGACAATTATTTTCATATTTTTTTTATTTTTTTAAAATTTTTAATAAATTTTGGTCATTTTTATTCACATCTAAGTAAAGCCTAAATTTTCAATAAATACTATAAAAATACTACTAATTAAAATGGTAGATATTATTTCTTCCTACAATTCAATATAAAATAATTAATATCTATCTTTAAAATCCATCGATTTCAGTATGGACAATGAATAAATGTTAAATTTATCATTTTTTGTTAATTTTATTTGAAGTGTAATTTCTCTATGTGTAGACATTTAATTTTAACAAAAAATATATTATATGATAGCCCTGTTTTAGGAAAATCTAATAAAAAAAGTTTGTGCAATTTAGATCACTCGTTATGGTACAATTAGTATTTTAAATTTAGTAATTTTTTTAAAAATGTTTAACTGTCCGGTGACTTTTAACTACCCACTGTACATATAACTGGGTACTTTTTTTACTTCACTATATACAAAAAGTCAAAATATCTCAAAAATCTAAAATCAATTTTGAAAATATGTATAGTCCAGTATAATCCATCATTATATTTATACCATAATTTTATATTGTCATCTTCTTCTTTTTGTTTTATATAGATAATCCTGAAACATTCTATATATATTAATTCATTATATTTATTATCTTCTTTATTTATAAATATGATATCAGGTTATTTTCTTACTCTCTCATCTCCTCTTTTATTAACACTTGCTATATTCTACCATTCAAATCTAAAAATATAAATTAACAATATGTTTCTCTGGAAGATGATATATTATTCTTATTATAATTTACTTGATAATAAATATTAACTCTCTAAAATAATTATTAGATAAGTAGGTATTGATTAATTGCACAATTATATTATTTACATATGTACATTTATTCATTGTAGCAACAAATTCAAAATAAAAAGCCAGATTGCACTAAACAGATCTTAAGGTTTTTAAAATTTTTAATGTGATTTCTTTAAGTTTATTTTCACTCTCTTTCTATTCATTTGTATGTGATAATTTATATAATAAACTTGATAAATTTCCAGATAAAAAATTCGATACAAACCTATTATACATATCTTCAACTCTTGATATAGAAGTAGGTTTCATCAATTTTACAGGTTTCTAATATATAGAACATAATATTTTTAACATATATAGACAAATATTAGTTTTCTGATTCTGCTAAAGTATTATATACCAATTAAGTTTGATAAATATATATCATAAATACTTTTTTTAAATTTTCTGATAATCCCTGAACAAGATTTGAATTATCTCTAATAATTTGATTAGCTAGAGGATTCTTCCAAGTTAATTCTTAAACTGAAATTTTATTTATACTGGAATATAAATGTTGATAAAGAGGTGTGAATTCTTTTCTAAATTTATTCTTCAACTTATTTATATTATTTTCAATTTAATCCAAACTCAAAGGTGCTTCTTTATCTATCTTGATTACTCCCATATTATACAAATTATTAACCCCTTCAAAGGCATTATTAAACTAATAAAATAAATAGTACGTTAGATTTCAAAAATATAAAAATTTTCATCATTAAAATAATACAAAATTATTAGTGCATCTGCAAAGTTTATATTTTTGTGTGGCCATCATGTAAATAAAACTCTGTATAGTATTATAAATCAATATAATAACTTATGTTTTAAATATCTTCTCAATGAGACAATAGATTTTTCTTATAGCAAGTTAGTAAAATTCTATATCTTGTGTAATAGACTATAGTTTAAATATTCTTCCATTATAAACAAATATCTATCGGCATGTAAACTAAATAAAATGAGTATATATAAACAATAACCAGATATGATAATACCCTTATTTATAAGAAATAATTTGACTATTTATTTGACATTCGTTTTTTGAATAGATCACACAATATCATCATATAATATAATATCAAAATAAAGTTTTATATAAATCTAACCTGTGATAGAATTTGAAAAATTATCAATTGACACTTTAAACTATTCATAAATAAATTACTAGTCGAATTCACAGCTCATTTTACAATTGATTTTAATTTACTTTGTGAGATCCAATGATCTTCTTGTATCTCAAGATAAACAATAGATATAATATTTATTTTTTTGTCTTCAGCAATCATCAAAAAATTGTAAATTTTGTTATATAATTCAGTAGATATTTTATGTGTTAATTTGTAATAAGAAAAATATATGTTAGAAACACTAGTTTTATTAAGTAATAAAAATAAAGACACAAATAAAACTTTCAACAATACCGCCATACTCTCCTTTTAACGTGTTTCATTATTTTCTTTTTTAATATCTCGAAAAGTTGATATGTGTACAAAAAACTCTATATATGCACAATAACAAAGAATGCATTGAGTGCAGAGTTTACAACTCATATGTATATTTCTATAATAAGTTATTTAAATATAGGTAAAGAAGTTTATGATACTTTCCTTTTATTATTTTTTGTTATTTTATATTGTACTGAAGAATAGATTAGAAAAAAAGATAACATATGTACAAGAACAAAGACTATATGTATATCTTAAGCTGGTTATCTAAAATAAAATTATCGATATCCCTATTTGTAAAAAAGTACAACATATCAATTATTGTTTATGTATAATTTTATGATAAATATAAACAGTAAAGAAAATAAGAGTAAATGTTATATTCCAGAAATCAACAATATAATTTTTTTACATAGATATACAGGTGTAAGAGATATTAATTAGTGGAGCTAATACAAGATGTTAAATTTGATAATTAGTGTATTACATAACTAGATAATACATGCAGATTCTATTATCTTCAAATTTCTTCTATGACATATATCAAGTGTCAAAGATATTGAGCTCTGCTCATATAATAGGTCAATTAATTTAGTAGGATCTCTGTTATTTCTTGTCTTTTTTATATACAAACTTATTTTATCAATCATATAAAAAACAATAATCTATTGTAAGTATGGAATACTATACTCTGTGTATACATAAAAAATCTATATCTTTGAAAACTTATATGTCCTAAAATAATCATTTCGAATATTAGCAAATGGAAGTAGTGGATTAGAAAAAATGGAAATGTTTGTATATCAATTTCTTGAAAGTAAATATATAAAAGTATATTCATATATGATTGGTAATAAAGATCGAGAGCTAGTGTCAAAACACTAATGCACCAAAAAATGGAAACTATAGAGAAAAATATATTTTTTGTGATAATTTAATCATTGTTACAAATATCAAGATAAGGTGTTATAAAAAATAGTACAATATTTTTATGAATTTATAGTTAAAGATAAATAAGTACTTTATTATGAAGATGTACAATTTAAATTAATTGATCTTGAAAATTTATCAGATATCTTAAAATTTAAAAATACAGGTTGAAAAACTGTTATAGTATTTGATGACCTTGCTGATAAAACTTTATAAACACAGCTAAAAATTATACCATTTTTTAAATCTGGTAAGCATAAGGGAGTTAGTACAATCTATATTGCATAATATTATTTTGAAACTTATCCAAATATATATGTAAATTTAACATATATTTCATTACATTGTAGTTGTACATTAGAAACTATAAAACAAATTCTTAAAGATATGTATAATAATTATGAACCAATAGCAAAAAAAGTTTATGAAGTAATTAAAAAGCATTATGTAATTATTATCACTATTTTCAAAATGGTCTAGTCAACAATTGATTAATCAAAATAAAAATTTTATTTTTCGAAAACTGAAATCAGAAACACATGATCATTATGTGATAAATATTAACTAATAAAATAATTAAATTTTATTATAAAAAAAATTATAGTTTTAATATGCACATCGCATTTCGTGAGTTTTGTATTTTTTTTTATTTCATATGTCTTCATTATATCAAATTGACACTTGTTTCAATTGTCAAAAATGTTTATACTGTTTTATAGACCTATTACAAGAAACATGCAATTGTGACATAACTA